CCCCAAAACCCCAAAACCCCAAAACCCCAAAACCCCTTAACTCAAATTTTGAGATTCTGCTGGAAATTAATGAAATCAAAATTATATATCAATTCAGTTATTTCTTAGTCTTTGTGGTTTATTATGCTATTTGATTTGCAGTACCTCCATTTCTTTGAGTATGATTTCAAGTTCTTTGCTGAATCCTTCTATCTCCTTGTTTTTCATCTGAAGTTGTTTGCTCATCTCTTACTTTTCCTTTTCAAATTCATCTCTGATGGTATTTATTTTAAGTTAAGAGGCTTTGCCCAGAGTACTTCCCATATTGCCCAGCCCACTTTTCTATAGATTCTGAGAATTTTTCTGCACTAGTTTCTCTATTTTTATCTTCAAGTCAGCTATCTTAATTGCAGATTTACATCTGTCAAACTTTTTGGACTCATCAGCAGTTGCATTGCTAACTTTGTTAAAATTCTCTTTATTTACATCGTAGTTTCTATCACTCATTGAGAGGAATGTCTAATTGAAGTCATTTTAACCCTCATCAGTTATTTTCTTTCCTCCTTTCTACAATTATCTCTGTTTCAAGTTGAGATTTGGTTGTATATCGAGGTCTTAATGAGATATTGCTTTTTACAAGGGCAGATTGTAAGTGATACCCTCTCTTTCTTATTGCTTCTGGATAATATTGAGAGTCTTCACGAAGGATGAAAAGTGCAATCTTGATTAATCACCTACTTGTAAATTCTTCATTGATGGATTTTGTCTTTGTAGCAAGTATTTGAATATAGAATAAATCTCTATCTTGGAAAGTGGTATTTACATGTTTTTGAATACTTGATTGAATCCATGTAGATCAATAGTTCCATTGTGGAGTTAATCAAAGCATCTAAACCACTCTTCTATGTTAAATCTATTTTCCTGAATGTGATTATTGATTATATGCAAGAAGTCATTGAACTCTTGGACCTGGTGCTTATTCTCTTAATACTTTTCCTCATTAGTATGCTGATTTTTTTACTTTTAAGGTTTGAACTCATAGGGATTGCTAAGAAACTCAAACAGATCACTTTTGAATATCTTTCCATCATTCTCAAGATACTTTATGAATAAGTGACATTCAAATCTAGTCAAGTTTACTCTTTGATCTAGAACAAACTTTCTAAATCCCCTCTTCGTCAGATAATTAGTCTGCTCGTCTGAGAGTAGGCTCTAAAATTTATCGAGTTGCTGCTACTTGCAAGTCAATTTCTCAGATATCAAGTTTATATAGAACATGAAGTCAGCTTCATTATTCTTAAGCCTAGGCAAATTACTATTGAAGTCTCCCTCTTTATTAATTTAGGATCTAATCTCAAAGCAATTGTTAAGGATAATTTCTTGCCACCAGCTGTAAGGCTTGACTTGTATATTTTTGATAAATTGTCTATATTCTATATAATTTGGTCTCTAATGCTCCATATATTTCAATAGGTTTGCTAGTTAGACGAAATTGCTATTGTAACCAATCTTTATCAAGGAATGAAGGAGATCTCTTAATGAAATTAGATTTTCATAGTCTCTCTCTTAAGACTAGAGAAGCTTCAACAAATCAACGTCAGATTGTTTTATAAATTGTAGAATCCATTATTAAAGACTATAGAATTCCTTGAGTACTTCTTTTTCCTCTTACTCCTCTATGTAGAAATCATCATCAGAGAAATCTGACCAATACTCATCCATCTCATTTTCGAGATCTTTTGCCTAAATTCCCTCATCTTTTTCTGGTTGTAACTGTGCTGTTTAAGCTTGAGACTAAACAAGCTACTATAGCTCAATCATTGTAAACTGCCTCATTTTATGTAGAGTGTCAATTATTTCTCTCTGTTCTTTCATTTACGAAATAAGTAGGCACGTTTCTGTCAAGTCTTCGAATAATTTGATCTGACTCTTGCTAAATATTCTTTGATTGTTCATAGATTCAATTTGAGAAATCAGGTTTTCAAGGATAAAATATAGATCTTTATTCGGTTCTCCAATTTAAATAGCATCTTCAATCATCATTAGGATATCAGTTATCTCCCTTATTTTAGGATTTAGTATGCATTCAATAATTGAATCTACTGATTAACCCTGAATGCTTTGTTAAGTGTCTTGATCTGCATTTTTAATTCTCATTAATAGTTAGTTTTCATTCTCAAGTACTTTAATCTTTCTAAGTGCCTGATCTCTATCCTCTTCTACTAATGCTATCTGATCAAATAGTCTTTATTTTTCACCAAAAGTCAATTCTCTTTAGTCACTTGAAAGAGTCTGATTTTTTGCAAAAGTTTATTGCAGTTTCTACTACCTTTCTAGCAAAGAAAGCTTGCTTACATAGTATTATTTCGTCTCTTGCAACTGTAATTCAAGTTGTCTCACCTATTCTTAAAATGCTTATCCTGTACTTGAGTTATTAGCATCATTATCATTAACATTTCCAGTATCTTATCCATTCGGTACTCCTTGTGAGTTAACCAATGTTTGATACCCTCTGCTATTATATCTGTAAACATTCTGGTCTCCACTATTATTTCCTCCGAATGAAGTTTATGATTACTAAAACAGTGGGGTCTTCTCGAGATGCTAATGCTTTGCACTCTGAGTTTAGCTGTTTTGTATTTCTTAATTATAAATCTAATTTTCTAGTAACTTGATATGCTCTTAGAGTTGGCTTATTGTTTAATCTTTTTCATGTAATGATGTGTGATGAGCTTGCGATAGTTCTAGCTATAAATCTTATATTCTCATCTCTAACTCATTCATCATCTTGTTATTATCATATTTTAAAGCTTATTTCTCAGCTTCAAAGTCCTCTAAGCGATTAAGCACATCATCCAACCTAGCTTTAAGTCTTTAATTCTCTACATCGTATTGCTGATTTAAGTACTATATTTAGTCCATCTTTTACAAGAGATATTGCTTATGTGGATCTTCTTTTGGAGAGTTTAAAATCATAGTTGAAGTATATTAAGAGGCAGTTTTTGAGTTATCATTGTCCATAGTCATTGTATGTGTGTTTGTCAAAACATTTTAACTCATTGAATCTAAATGATTGACAGCAATGCTATTGTTTATATTGTTATGATTAGCTGACGTGCCACTAGTCTTCAGCATATTCTCTAGATTTTGAATTCTATCTTTCAGAGCTTAATTTCTTTATTCTAGATGCTTAACATTTACTTTTTCATCTTTTAATAGTGTCTCAAGTGCCCACTCTCTATTAGTACCCTAAAACATTAATAAAATATTTAATATACAGTCGAGTTGAAATGAGATGTGATAAGTACATCTACAGGAGAGTTTGGACTTTTATGTATCATAGATTAATCTTTATCATTACCATACATTCTTTAAAAGAGAATGCCAGAGTTATTGTTAGTGGATGGAGATCCTGGAGTTAAATCCTTTAGTTAGTCTTACTATTCTTTTTTATATTCATTTGAGACTCTGATTCTCTTAAAGTTCTTAGGGTCTAATTCTCTTTGCTATATCTCCTATAATTACATCTTTTATTAGAGAGGCATATGATGCTGATGATGTTAAAATTATTCAAATTGATGCTAATATTCCACTATATTGTCATATTGATGATGCTAGTGTTAGTCTCTTGGTAAGCTCTATTTTTTTATTATTGATTCAATTTAGAGTTTCTTCTCCTCTTCTTCAAATGAATCCTCATAAAGCTATTTCTTGGATTCTAAGGAATTCTCTTCAATTATCAAATTGTTAGATTGTTCGTTAGGATTATAGTACTTCTCTTCCAAATTATCATCATCTTCATCTTACTCTTAACTGTCCTCATAGATTTTAGAATGATTCAAAATGATTTTCTAATTAAACTTGTTGGAATCATGAGAGCTCGAGACATTTGAGGGTTACTTTTCATGATGATATTGGTACTAATGCTGCTCCTCAAAAACTTTAACATTTTGACTTAGGTTTTATTAATGAATGTAATTGTGCTACTGGTAAGCATGATTTGCTGCATAGCCATCACTAGACTGGGAATTCAAAAATCTCGGATTATGATAATTGTCGAAGCTCTTACTTGTAACGTGACTCATAGGATTACTTTTTTCACTCTATTTATTGTTAATTGTAATAATGATAGTATACCTGCATTGTAAAACTTTATTTAGAGGTATTTGCAGAAATCTAATTCAAAAGCCCTCTGAATTTATCTTAATTGACACTATTCTCATTCGATTAGATATTCATGTTTTAGCTATTATTCTAAAAATGCATCTACTGATGGATCTAAGAATTAGGATTTAGAAATCCTGCATCCAAACAACTCTTAGCAAAGTCTGCTGTTTCAAATGACTCTAACAATATTGTTCAAATGGCTATCTTATCCTTACCCATACTTTAATCTGCTGCTAAAATAAAATTTGAATTTAAATTATTAATTGCTATGCATCTATAACTTTGGAATAGGAATTTATGGGGTTTTGGGGTTTTGGGGTTTTGGGG